TTTCTGCAGCCATGCAATGTTCAATCATCTAATAACAAGTTTGTTTCTTTCAAGTTGTTCATCAAGAATTCCTGATAAAGATGTAAAGATGTCCCTTTCATAAATGTACCTGATGAAGGATGAGAGATGGGCTAATTTCACAGCTGAATTCAAATTCTTCTGAAGATAGGTATATCTTTATAGCTTGAATTATATTTTCATTCCCTTCCTCCAAAAGGAATTAGCAGCTTTAATTCTATTATAAGAAGTTAAATTAAAGGTTTCCTTGTAAAATGTTGAGCACAGGTAGAATTAAGCAAATTATTTCTTAGATATACCCTTACTCTCTGTTAGTCTTTGAACTCCTTGTCTAGTTTGCATGGATGTATTTACTAAAAGATTTTTATGATAATCACCAGTGATCTTGTTGCTCTGTGGCAAATTTTCTGAATGTCATGTCTTGATGTCATAACATAAAAAGTAAATTTGTATTTATATATACTCCTAGTAGGAAGAAGAACCTTTTGTACTTATCTAGATGCTGTTGACAGAAGTTACTGTGTACAATGGTAGGCACTCAATCAATATAGTATTTCTCCAGTGAATAGAAATCTCTCTGAAGATAGCTACTTTATGAGAAATACAACTAAAATTATGGTCAGAGGAAAATGTGATGTTGGATATTAAACTTAATATAATGCACAATGGCAGATAAGAAACTAAAAATGGGCTATATGATAAAAGAATATGCTTAACAGTGAGCAACCTACACTAACCCGAAGGGACAATTTCCTTTATGTAACTGGGAAAAGGCATGCTAGTGCTAATTTTCAGCTACTTGATAATACTTAACGTAAAAGTTTACTGAGACTTTTATTTTTTTAGTACTTTGACAGTAATTTGATGGTGTATAAATCATCAGAGGAGCAATGCTGCAATGCAGTTTGCTGATGTAGCTCATTATGATTGAGAGGCTGAGAACTAGGTGGTGCCTAATATTAAATGCTCATGGAATGAAGACAGAAAATTCACAGATTTGAGAACAACTTTATCTGAAGTCTAGGCTGTTCTGCATGCAGGAACCGCTGATTGTATGCCGGGGCAGTGATGCAGACATGCAGCTGACTCCAAGGGCTGATGAAGCTCTGTATGACAGTAGATGAAACAATGCCAGGCTTCATACCTTGAATGAGTTAGAAAGAACCTGCACATTTCCATCTCATTCCAACTAACATTTCCCAAAAAGTTAGCATAAACAGGCCAATGAGTTTCAAAGAATGGCAACTTTTAGATATCGAAAAACCAATGGAGTAGACAATGCCTGGGATAACTGGCAGCATGTGAGCTGCTTGAAGACTACAGCTCCATGTAATTTCTACATTAGCTGACAAGCTCTGTTTGGGTCCAGCCCTGCTGTCACTTCTCTGATCCACCCTTCAGTTTGCCCTCTCTTCTGCATCTGCATTGTTTGCTTGCTTTTTTTCCTCCCCTTGTATCCTTAACTACTCATCTTAATCCTTCTACTCCCATTAAATTTTCATCCGGGTTTGCTTGTCTCACTCCCACTTTGACTCCACATTGGGCTTAGTTGGAAAAATCAAGCATGTCATCAAACCCCAGCAGATCAATTAGTCTAACACAAGAAGACATTGCCTGTAAACCTGATATCTCGATTATATCCATGATGTAAGGATGACAAATGGTTTACTAAATAATAGACTTCATAAATGCATTATCATTTCAATTAAATATTCCATAGCATTTCTGAAAAGGCAATAAGAAGTGAAGTGTAGTGCAATTCTCTGCTGAGCTTCACAGACAGGCCTAATTCTAGGTCTGTGTAAGATGCTGAAAAAACTAGTTGGCACATGATATCATCACCAGATGCTAGAGTCGTCACCAGAGATATAATTTGATGTATTTCTTGTGGTTAGTGGGCCACATTATTCCCCTTTGTATAAAAGCAATGATACATCTGTTAGGAATTGCACTAGGCCTTTGGGATTTTCAAATGCGGCTATGCAGTTTTGCAGCTGTAGCTCATTGTAAATTGTTAGATAATGAAGATTTAGATTGGGGGGGGGGGTGTGAAAGGAGAGGGATGTATTCCATATTTCATTTTCTTAGTATTGTAACTAAATGTCCTTATATTCTAGCTCACTTAGCAGAAGAGAGGCTTGAAAAATAAACATTTTATTTGGTTTATTTTTTTTCAAGAAGTGCCAACTTCTCTCACACTGATCCCTTTGCACAGCACTTTGCCATGTAAATGTCATAATTTATATCTCAAAGATGAGATGAACTGACTGTGGTATAAAGAGTTGGTCTTACACAATCGCCAGCACACAAGAACAATGCAGGAATTTTGTTAGTGATGCATAAATATTTGCTACAAAATCATATTTTAATCATTGCCATTTGATCCCTGAAATGCAGAGACAAAAGATAATTTCAGTTAAACTTGTTCCAATGTAATGAAAAAAATAATTTCAATGAAATATGTAGATCTGAAACCTAGTTTGGACATTCTAGTGTATATGTCTTGCAGCTGAGTTTTAACATGTGAAAAAGAAGTACTTTCAGAGTTGTAAAGCCTGCAAACAGAGAGTTCTTTCTTTTAGAATACTATCAACCTAAGCATTTTTTTTAGGCCAGCAGCTTAGGATGTCTGGTGAAAGAACTGGTCTTTACATGTGCTGTTGAAATGTGTATATCTGGGACAAAACCTCTTGTCTCTGACAAGTGCTTTTTGCTGTATATACTGTGGCCTCCCTATTCACAGCAGTAGTTAGGAAACACCTCAATTACCTAATGTTGATGACATTTCAGGAAAATTTGTGAAGATAATTCAGGCAAAACCTTGTATATCTGTATGGAGGAAAACTCTGGTCAGCCTGTGAAGACATTTAAAACACTTTTTTAAAGGTAAATCCACCTGAGAAATCCTGGATATTAAAGCACCCCTGTGCTTTAATGTCCAGAGTTGCTTTAAAGGCTTATCTGTCCTGACAATATCCAGATTCTATGGGTTGGTCTGTAACAGTCCATGGCCTCTGCATACAGGAAGATTTGTTATTCACTGTCTTTAAGAACCAATGGCTGCATAAGAGAAGCTCCATCTTGAGCCAGCTTGGGAATTTCTTGTTATGGATGCCACCAGCTCTGAGGCCATGAGACCATATACGAGCCGAGCAGCAGATGGAGCCTTGCAGTTTAGCAGGGTCTCCTCACATATTCCTGATCCCTGCCTGAGGCTTTGCTCCAGCTACAAAGTCACTGCTGGCAGACAACATCCTGGGCCTGCTCCAGGCCCAGGGCTGTGCACACAAAGTTCCTCTTTTCAGCCTAAAGAGAGATAGACAGGCCCCTGTCTCTCAAAGAGGGGAATGGGGATTACGAAGGATTTTGCCATATTTTATTATATTGAGGGGAAGCAAGGGAGGACTTCAGCAAATGTTGTGGCTGGTGATACTTGCATATGTTAAAGGGTTTGCTGGTAATTTCAAGGGCATTTGCAACAAGCTGAACATTGCTCAGTCTGGAGAAGTCCATTCTTTGGGCTGCCGTTTGACCTTGGCCGCTTTTTCTTTTTTCAAAGATCTTTTGCTCTCCAAAGTGTAAACTTCAAGTGTGTCTTTTTCCCAGTAAAATAATTTATGAACTTAAAACAACCTTATGAATTTCTTGTAACTTCTGCTAAAACCGCCTGGTTTACACTAAATTGCACACAGGTTTGAGGCCTTCTCTCTTCAGTTTCAGGTTTACAGGACAGGTCTGAAAAGTACATTCACAAATCCTTAATGTACTCCCAAATCAGGACACTAGGCAAGCTACTGTGTGTTGATTTTATGCCTTGCAAGCCTCCTGACATTTTAATGTCCTTGACAGAAAGCAGCAATGATACGTTTACTATTTGTTTTGCAGCTGAAAAAAATTAGAAATATTTTCTCTTTTATTAACCAGACCAGCTTGTGGACACCAGGGAGTCCTTATAAACCTACTTTTTTCAATATTTTACTTTCTTCCAGGTGGCTGAGGAAAATAATGCATCTGTTCCAAATCTCAGCAGAACCACACATTACAGACATTACCGGAGCCCTAAAACAAACACGTTGTGTAAGGCTGGAAATGTTTCAAGAGTTCTCACAATTATAAATTCATCTGACATTCACTTGAGAACCGTAGCCGCTTGGAACAAATTATCTTTCTCAACTAGCTAGCTACACCTACATTTTCCTCAGTGTGCAGAAGGGGTAGGAAAGCAGTGGGGCAGGCAGATGGGTTGAACTGAACTGAGCCAAGAAGGGGCAAAGGACATTCCCAGAAGCCCAAAGTCTATGACTGGGAATGGGGTAATAAGTTACCAGTCCCAGGTTTTACTCTTCTCTGGTGGTTTGAGCTGTAGTATTCATTGATTTAAATTAAGAGTGATACATGAGGAGAGAGCAACTTCTCAATAACTCAAAGCAGACCTCTTGTGCCAGAATTAACTCCTTTGCTTACTTTATTTAAGCTATTTATACATCGTTTCATCAGGAAAATCCTCCTTGTGACTCACTTCACAGTTTCATGGAGTTTCTGGGAAATCTTTATGACCCCATGGATATTTTAGCTTGTTTCTACTTGGGACAAAGCCAATACCATTTATGTTTTCTGTGACAGGGCATTTTAAAAAATTGTGTTTGTTTTTATTTTTTTTTTTTATATTGTTCAACAATATTTTATCCCCATTTAACAAAAAATGTTCACCATAACTATTCGGGGCTGTTTTATGGTAACCTCATTTTCATAGATTAGTTTTTCTTAATTGTTCATCTTTATAGATGGCAAAGTTAAAGCATTTTTATCTCTTCAGAGGTTTTTATACTTTTAACTGCCTTGCTGTTATTTTGAGACATAATACAGTAAAAACAATTGTGCAAAATTTTGTGTTGCATTAACTTAGCATTATTTTAAAAATGTCACCCCTTGTCAAAGACCCAGAAAAATACCATTGCTTATCAGTATAATTTTTAAAAAAACCTGGGCTTAAGTACTCTAAATAATGCATTTCTGAGCAGGAAGAAAATTTATCTGTGAGGAATAGGATCTGAGGGAAATGCAAGATGCATGAAAAAAACAGAGTAAACAGGGGAAAGAAAAGCAAACAGAGATTTTATTCTGTAGAAGGGCTTAAGTTGTTGATACAACCAGTGCATTTTTACAACTTCTTTTTAAAGGTGACTGCCTTAAATTATTTTATGTCCCATAGTTTGAAGTGATGCCAGCCTGTCTCTATTTAGACTGTTGCTTGTTTTTTGACTTATGCCTGTTTCCAATTTCTGCTTTACTGTAACCTCTTTTAGTCTTTTTGTATTTATTTTTCTTTATTTATAGCATTCGTTAGTTCCCCTCCAGTTTTTGGACATGAAGTGTGTGTGGCAGGGAAGAGCAATGATTTCAGCCTGCCTTTGTACAACTCCCTTAAGGCTCTTCCTCAGCACATGCAGGAGTAAAAAACGGCTCTGCACTCAGTTATCTGAATTGGATGCCCAGCCCATGATGTTATCAATACTTGCAGTCTCACAATTACTGACAGTGAGCTCTGATAATCCAATGATCTTGTTCTTTTCTTTTGTCATGCTCTACCAGTAGTTTGTTGGAAGTGATAAAATCCAGCATGACTGGAGAAAAAGGACAACTTTGTAAACCCGGCACTTTTATACTACTTGATTAATGATGCATTCATGTGGTTTAAGTGACACTATTCTTTTCCCCAGGACTCTGTAGACCTAGGCATTTTCACTGATTTTTTAAGGTACACTGACAGACCTTATACAGTTAGGGGTGTTGGAAGCAAGAGATAAAGCGGAAAGGAGATAAGAGGGTGAGTGCATATGTTCTTGCTTTGAAGTTTTGTCCAACCTGGATCTTGCATCCATCTTCTTCCTGCTGCTGCTAACATCCTTCTTCCGTGGCCATCACTTTTCTTAGATTTGTGCTCTCCAGTGAGAGAGAAGGGATGCTGGAAAGTAAATAAATGCATAAAAAAAGGCATGAGGGGTTTAGGTTCCCTACATCAAGAGAAGACAGACAACAATAATGGTAAAAATTTCTGCCTTATGAGATATAAGAGATGAAAAATACAATTTCTAAATTTGGAAAGTAAGTTGGTACATGCTATTACATCTGGTAAAGTAAATTTCTTTACCAGATGGACATATATGAATTTGAGGATTACAGGGACACGTGAGGATGATTGGATTACTACATGGTGATTACTAGAGTGGCAGGCAGTAACGCATGGTGTATATTGGGACTGCTGTATTAACTGCATGCTGCTTATGTTCACTGATGGATCATGTTTTGGATGGACCAGACCTAGTGCAAGTGTACACTTCAGCTCTGACATGTCAGTCTGTGCATCACATCCAGTGGGCCCCATGTGTCCTGGAACCCTGTCCAGATCATTCCACATACCGTGGATTTCCAAATTAACCGTATGGAATTCCAAAACCTAGCACATGTACACATATTTCTGCCGAGGAGGTGCCACTCACAAACTGCCAAGAAAACAGTGTACCTTACCTAGAGCAGAAGGAAGGGATCTTGAATCTCGTCTCAGAAGCTTTGGTAGTTCACTTACATCTGTTGCTGAAAATCTGGAAGGGATATGCAGGAATGAAAAATACATTTTTCTCTACGGAATACACTTAATATGTTGAAAATTTTCTTCTGCCTTTTCAAATAATGGGAGAGATTTCAAAAGACAATGCCTGCTGAGAATGATGAGATGAAAGATTTCTAAATTTGCATTTCGAGCCAGTGTTTCTGAGATTAGAGATACAACATAAAGGGTCCCTTTCAGTAGCAGTCATTTTTCTAGCGTGAAGCCCAAAAGAACTCTTCAAGCTTTAGCATGAGATGCAAGAAAATGCTTTTAAGCAATCATTTGATAGAAAACACTATTTCGCTAGTTTGAGCATTGTGGGATGCTCAGTTAATAATTTAGACAACGACTAAAATCAGTTATGGCTATGAACTGTTCACCGTTATAGTTATTTACATAGAGGTATTCTAGTAACATTTTTATATGTTTTGGTGCATAGGTAAATGTTTTTAGAAAGTGTATTAAATATACCTTGTTTTGAATATTTGGTGCAGATTCGATGTTCACATGTAAAATCATGTTATGAACTTCAATCACTGTGCCAGGTGTTCATCTTCCTCAGCTACTTCCTCCAATTCTCTGCTGCAAATTCATGTTCCAGATCCTCTTCCTTTCCCTTGTGCTCCTCAGGAACATTTCCTTCCTGCTCTCTGAGATCTCTACAGCAAAAACAAGATTATGTGTCTTCAGTATACCAAGCTGATCTCTCATACATTCATCATTATGAAAATTTGATATTTTTCTCTATGAAAAAATTCACATAAGATTATGCTGTGACAAGCATAATCAGCTTAGTGAGCTCTGGTGGGAATGCTGCAGATATCTTATGGTGGTGTTAATGGATACTTCTGCCCTGGAGTAAGGCAATCTTACCTGGCAGTGGCTTGGATGCACCTCTGAAGATGACTGATGTTGGGTGCTGAGCAAAATGAGCTGTGGGACTTTGTTCAGAGGATACCCAATTAGAAACCCTGAAATAGAAGAGATTAGTCTATGGAAGCCTTGGCAGTAGCAGGGAAATAATAATTACAGGCTGAAAATTACCTCTGCACCTCAAGCCCGATCATAAAACGACAGAGCTTTGTGCCAGCTCTGTATTTTCCAACCCCTTTGCGATACTTGGATCTTTGTTTGCATACTGCAAACTATAATGACAGTGTGCATTATTTCTAGGAGGCTGCAGAGATCATGCTTTTTCCTTGCTCTAGTCAGAAAGGGTCTGTTTTTCTCATAGCATTTCTTTTCCACTTGTCATCAGAGCAACTGATTGTTCCTTTGGTTACCATGGGGACTAGAAAGACATTCAGCATATTCATACACATATTTTTAGAGGCTGCCTTAAGCCTGCACAGTTCCAGTAGCTCAACACCATGCTATCTATATTTATGTAAAACTTTATCTCCTCTCTGAAGGAAATGTGCATTATGAGCTCTGGACAAGCTCACAAGGAGCAACAAGTAGCACTAGCCATATAATTAGCTCATTTTTTTTCCATTTTTTCATTCTGTTTTTTAAAAGAAACTTAAAATAAAACCAGGGGCATGGGGGCGGGAAGTCAATTCAAAGTCAATTCAACCCCTTTAAAACCTTTGTGTTCAAAAGCAGAGATTGCCCTTAAGCCAACAGAAGTATAATTACTTTTGTCTTACTCTCTTGGACATAAATGACATACAGATGTAATCAATACTAGAGAAAGTTAACACGAAGGCCATTTCATTTGTGTTCTGGGAGTAATAGAACAAGAATCATTCCATGTTATTTTTCATTAGATCAAAGCTGCATTAGGCAGGAATGTTGTATTTATGTTCTAAACTTGGATTTCCCTCAGCAAAGAGCTTTAGGCCCAAGCTTTGGTGATTAAGTTAAATAGTGAAAGTCTGATTAAACACTTCAATGAAAAAAAAAATTAAAAATCCTTGACCCATGGTTCACATTTATTTCTGCCTTATTTTACTGAAAAAAAAAAGTGATTTTTTTTTAAGAAGTAGCCTGGTGGAATATCGTCCTGTTTATTTTTTCAGTGCATCTAATCACACGCCAAGTGATTTTGGATGTTTTGGTGCTAGAGCAGAGATGCAAGGCACTTGAAACTGTCTTCTGCTTGGCCTGCAAAATTTCAGGTATCTAAAACCACTCAGCAGTTTAGAGATCCTTGCCCTATCTTTAAAATAATGTCCTCTTTAAGTGGAAACTCATTGTAAAATTGTTCTGTGGCTGAACTAGTAAATCCTCTGTCCCTAACACTGGGATATTTTCTTAAGTGTTTTCCTTACATTTGCTGGATTTTGGCATTGTAAGAAATGGTATCCTTACTCTTTTTGGAAATAAAGGGAAATTGAAAAAGCTTTGGAAAATTCCAGTTCAAATTTGCTCCTTTATCTTACATGAATAACTATGTCTCAAACATTCTCAAAAGCTGACCTTCCTGGGTTTTCTTTGAAAAACGGACCCTTTTTTACTTCTACTGTGAAGGCCCTTAAAGGCTGCTTATCAGATGGTTGGCCAAGAGAGAAGAAATAAGGCTTCGTTTCTGGGCATGGGTCAGAAAACTACAGTAGACTCGTCAGAAATCTCCTATTCACAGAAAATTTCCCCAAAGAATGAAACGTTTTCTTAGAGCCAATTACAAAAGATATATGGCCGTCTGAAATGCACTGAACATCCAGCTTTCCCCATGCCATCTCCAAGTTAATGAATTTCAGATCTGTCCTGCACAATTATGCTATTCCACAGCTACTACATCCTTTCCTGCTTCTCCCCTCCATTTTAATCTCATAGTACCATTTGCCCCGGATTGGAATATGCAGTTTGTGTGAAAAACACTCAGCAGTAACCAAGTTGTGTGTTTGATCTGATAAAACCTCACATCCCCGATTCCCTGAGCTGTTCATGCTATGAGGTTACGTGAGAATTCATGCATACTTGGATATGATGGGCTTCTAAAAATAACAGACTCCATGTACATGCACACTGACAGCAGAAATGCCAGACATTCCTCACTGCTCCAGGCTTTTCTACTGAATGTGTGTGCATATGAAAAAGAAACCAATCTGAGGAATGAAACTACCTCCCATTAAGGCAGAACTCTAAGAATTGATTTAGCAATTTCTTTGCTAATTGTCCATAGATTCTTTGTTTCAAATAATCGGCAGCAGTAGCCCAAAGTACTGTAGGTCTCCTCCTGCCCTTGGCTATTCTGTCAATTTGACTAACTGAAAAAAATCAAAGGGAGGGCTGCAGTCAAAGGAAATTTGTTATTGAAACAAAAGTGGATCTGCTTCACTGCCAGACTTTCCATAGACAAAAGGGTATTTGTTTTCCCCTTGGTACCCACTGTGGCATGGCTTTCATTAGAAAGTTAGTGGGCCAAGGTTACAGCTGTACAGGATTGCCAGCCAACTTTTGCAGCCAAATGGTCTAAAGCAATCCATGAGAGCACAGCTGCCTCATAGTACAATGAGGTGAGGAGCACATGATGAATAACTAAGTCTGTGTCTGTGGGGGAAGTGGGGAAGGGGAACAGATCACCAAGGATATTGCAGAATGCAAGTAATACAAATTATTCAGAGTATTTTCTGTCAGTGAAATGAGCTATGTATCTGATAGTGCCTGAAAGAACAGATGGATTGAAACTAGTATGTCACATCCAGCTCATCTAATCTCTGGCCAAGAAGGGCAGGGAAACATTTGAATTCCCAGCTTCAACATAATTTATTTGCTTATGGTTTCTAGTAAAATCCCAAAGCTGGGAAAACCTGTTTCCCATTTCGGGCACAGCCAAGATTTTCAAAAAACAACAATTCTCAGGAGATTTCATGAAATTTTTTCCAAAACCACATAACTATTTGAGAAGATTTTGGCATGGTTGGTTCTGCCATCAACCCAAGATGTAATTTTGGTAAACTCCAAGCATAAGCAAAGACCAAAAATCTCTCTTTCAGCCCATATTTACTATGAAATGTCTATATTTTATTTACTATAGAAATGTCTATATTTGAATTCAATAGTAGTGAACAAATTGTATTTATTGAATTTTATCCATCTTCCTTTGGACTTTAAAATGCTGTGTAGCATCAATTTTTTCTAAGAACAGCTACCCTTAAAATCAGTAAGATGTGCGTTAAATCAAGAATAAGTAATTTTTTGTTCCTTTGAAACTTTCTAGAGCCATGGGAGAATTGATACATCTTGCTAATCCTGCTAGTCTTTCACACCCCACCCTGTAGGCCAGGACACCATTTAAGCTTGGCCACAGCCTCTCTGTCCCTGTCCAAACTGTTTTTTGTCAGTTTGCAGCTATTTCCATCCTCTTTTACCCCGACTGGATCCTTGGGATCAGTTGTGCACCTGGATCTGTGGCTGTTGACGGACCCTGCTACCAGCCCATGCTCCTACCCAATTTGCTCAGCCATGTAGGACTGCACCCACCTGGTGAGAGCATGACTTGCTCTGGATCACCTTCCCTGTCATTACCCTTAGGCAGCAGTTGGCTCTTGCTGTGCCCTGGCATTAAATTTTATCAATGGATTTATTTTTTCTTCTTTTCTTCTTTTAAACAGAAGTACTTTTTTTGTGCACAACTCCACAGCACTATTTAACTCTGAGCTGATAGTTACACTTGGATTCTGTCTTTAAAGAAACAGAAATATGGTCAAATTTTGTAATGAAATTATTTGTGTAGCTTGCCTCTGTTTCTGACTCAGCTCTTTATGTGCTGTAAACACTCTTTGTACAAATACAAGCTGATGCATAGTATGGGGGAAAAGAGATTACAAGATTGGACAGTCCTCAGTGTTTGGCAGTAGCTTCATATTTTCTGAGAGCTTTCTGTTGCCAAAAGCCTAGCTCATGAGGGTGACCTAAGCAGTAGTGATGGATGAACTGCCTGCATGGACCCTGCTCCTGATACACTCTCATGGGAGAAATAAATCATAGTGGCCAAACATCTTTAGTACCAATCAGCACCAGAAATGGCCTTAAGTCTTTATGTCCTCCTTGTTCTTTTTGTCACTTTTAAAGTCAGAAAAGATTAAGTCATGCCATGTTTTCTTTCCTCAGCCATATCCGGATTACCCAGTCCTAATTCCTTCAACATTCATGGGCCATGTTTTTAAGACCTTCAGTCATTTCTGTTGCTTGTCTGGACTGACCCACATTCTTCTTGATCTGCATTGCCCAAAAATGGACATGGTGCGCCCCCTGAGGTCATGCTACTGACAAGTTACTTCATGTGTTTTGCAAACAAAACTATTGTTTATCTATCCCAATGTGGTATGCTCTGGTTTTTTGTAGCAGCCTAACACTGAATAACTTTCAACTCATGGCTCACCATACTTTAGAGACCCTTTTCTATAGCAGCAGAGATCATAATTATTCAGCCTGTCATTACACAGCTGATCACTCTTATGAACAGAACTTGACATTCATTCCTGATGAATATTCTTCCCCAGACAATATCTCTAATATTGCTCAGTGATTCTGTGGCAAACCTATTTTTAGAACCAATTTTCTTAGCAGAGGGTGGCTAAAGCCACTGTCACTGATGCCAGATTATAACAGGTAATATTTGCAGTGCCTGTTCTGTCCCTCCGCTTTAAAGTAGCTCAGACACTGACAGCAGGAAAGACACCTCTGCTTTGATGCTTGGGGTTAAGCATCTACAGGCATTTTAAGCATTTAAACTTCCACTGCAGACAATGAAAATATGGTTCAGTGTAACTCATGAATATTTGAGGATTATTTACCTAATCAGCCATCAGTACAATGATTCCTGAGTGTCATTTGAGATGCCCAAACTTGGCAGCAGAATGACAGAACTCATGGAACCTGGGGACATCTGGGTCCTACTGGATGACAGCAGGGTGTCAAAAAGGAGATCCTTTCAAAAGGGTCTTTTACATGGTACTGGATGCCTCTGATAGATGGAACCAACCCCTACACAATTAATATACATTTAATCTCCAGAGGTCACTTCCAACTCTAAGTATTCTGTGATTTTTTGATAGTGAAAGGAAGCAACACCCACAAGTTGTAGCAAGAGCAATTCCAGCTGGATATGGGGATAAATATTCCATTGTGACATTGGTTAAGCACTGGAGAACAAAGGCTATGGGATCTTCATCCTTGAAACAGTAGAATCTCAGCTTGACAAGGCCCTGAACAGCCTGACCTGGTTGATAGATGGCTCTGAGACAGGGATTGGACTACAGCCTCCAGAGATACCTACCAACCACACTTTTTTCATTCTAAACAGCATGCAATGTTACTGTAATTTCTTTAGTATTGCATTCACATCACATTTAATTAGGCAATAAAGAGACAGAA